GATTCCAATTTTACTTCAACTTGGTTGCCCTTCTTGGTATATTTATCTACCAAAGATGATTACAATTCAATCTTAGATACAATAACAATGGTTAATTAAAGTGTTATTTATACCCTTTACAGTGGTTGGTTCTTCTCATGATGTGTTCTTTTTATTCAAACATTTGTATTCTCATTGTTCTTACTACTGCTGTTATTAATGTAATGGTTACATGTATTGTTTTATATGTTACTGTATCTGTTTATTGACATTAAAGTTTATTTTTTAAAAAAAATTAAAAGTTTGTCCTCACAACGACCTGGCAAGGTAGGCTAGACTGAAAGAGAGTGGTCTGACCCTCCCCTCTGGTTTTAAAAACTAGAAGAAAAAATTAATCAAACAGGGTTTTCGACTGATTACTTTCTCCAAATGGACGAAACCTCGATTTTTCAATCTATTCGACAAAGATTATTCGACCTTGAATTACATAATTTTCGTCCTTCACATTCGCATATATACTCACAATATTATTCTGGACTGCCTGCTGCACACATCTTCACGTATGAAAATGTTACCCCTTCGGCCACACTTATTTACTAATAATCTTAAAAATGTTCAATAACTTCTTAACGATGTTAATACTGATACTACAATTATGGTTGCAGAATTCTTAGCTGAATCAGCCACAGTTAGATACAGTCTTTTTACATAATACACATATTTTATTGTCTAAATTTACTTACTGGAATTTAATGTATCTTCTTAAATGTATTTATTATATACTACTATGCCATTAAAGTGAAGCTGCGGTGGCTCAAGTGGTTAAGACGCTGAACTGCAGGCTGTGGATGGTCAGTAGTTCAGCAGTTCAAGACCCGGGTGCCGCAAGACGGGGTGAGCTCCTGTCTCTAGTTCCAGCTCCTGCCAACCTAGCAGTTCGAAAGCAAGAAATTGCAAGTAGATAAATAGGTACCACTTCGGTGGGAAGGTAACAGCGTTCCGTGCGCCTTGGTGTTTAGTCATGCCGGCCACATGACCACGGAAACGTCTTCGGACGGCGCTGGCTCTTTGGCTTTGAAACGGAGATGAGCACCGCAACCCTAGAGTCGGATTCGACTGGCTTTCAAGCACGGGAACCTTTACCTTTACCTTATGCCATTAAAGGTGTCTGAATCTGAGTGGTTTGACCCAGGGTTACCCAGTGAACAACGTGGCTTAGAGCAAACTACGCACTCAGGTTTTAATGAATTGGGTCCAGGAACCCCAGAGCCAACTCAGGTTCCCCCATGTCCCAGCCACACCATAGCCATGAGGAATGGCTTCCCAAAAATAAAAGAAAACCCCAAAGGGCTCAGAACACTGCCAAGAGGAATGGAAGGGTTCCTACCTCACCCGCCCGCACTGTTTTCCTATGCTGAAACAGTACTTTGGAGCAGGCCCGTAGCCAGGATTTTGTAGCTTGTGGGGCAATTTTCCCCTCAGTGGGGCTGAAGTTCTCAGTGCAGGTTGAAAAGCCATTTAGCCAATGGAGAACTGTTACCGGGGTAGATCTCTAAATTGCAAGCAGCCAGCCACTTTAGATGACAGTTCTCAGCTGCAGCAAGTTAATCACTTCCATCAACCCAAGCCTGACAACAAGCCGACAGGCAGGGGTGATGACTTCTATAGTCAAGAAAGCTAACACTTAGGCAGGAAAACTCTTTGAAAGGAGACCAGTTTCTTGACGTGGAGTTGGAAGGGATCCTAGAGGACACCTACTCCAACCCCCTTGCTCAGTGCGGGAATCAGTCAACTACAGCACCCCGCTCTGCTTAAAGTGGAGCATGCCTTTTGAAAGATGTTTTAAAATAATTGGAAAAAGCATTTCCAGGAGACATTCTTGTGGGGCTATCCGTTTAAGAAAGTGGGCGGAGCCCCCAAAAGCCCACCGTGGATACGGGCCTGCTTTGGAGAGTCACTTCCCATTTGGAGTAGCTAAAACAAGGAAATAACTTCCTCGAAGGGCTGTTTCGACACAGAAAAAGAGCTTGGGAGGGAAGGTAGGAGGCCTTCCCCTCCCCCAGCAGTGTTCCAAGCCTGTTCGGGCTATCCTTTGTGTTTTAAAAGCTGCGGTGAACCACACTTTATCTGAATTTCCTGGACTCGATTTGTTACAAAGTTGAACATGTAGTTTGGCCCTGAGAAAGGATTACAGCTATTGTCTCCCAAATCTTAGTCCAGCCTTCTAGCCTGGGGGTCTACAATGTGGCATCTATGGGTGCCATGAAAAGGAGGAGGAGGAGGAAGAGGAGGAGCAGATTGGATTTATACCCCGCCCTTCAGTACCCGAAGGAGTCTCAGAGCTGTTTACAATCTCCTTTCCCTTCAGCTCCCACAACAGGCAACCTCTGAGGTAGGTGGGGCTGAGAGAGCTCTCTCGAGAACTACTCTGAAAGAAATTGTGACTGACCCAAGGTCACACCAGCAGCTGCATGTGGAAAAGTGGAGAATCAAACCCGGTTCTCCCAGATTAGAGTCCACGCGCCTAACCACCACACCAAACTGGCGCCATAGTGCCCGCCAACACCTTTCCTTTCCTGGTGCTCATCAAGTGCTTTGAGTTAAATCGGAGGAGGAGGGGCTTTTGCCCGGCAAGGCTTCTGATTGGACACTGGAGACCACCAAGGAAGCCCAGGGCTGTTATGCAGAGGCAGGCAACTGGCAAACCATCTCCAAGCCTCTCTTGCCCTGAAACCCCCACGGGGTCGCCATAAGTCAGCTGTGACTTAACAGCAAAGAAACCAACCAACCATGAGCTGAAAACAAATGACCTTCCAGGACCCCTCCAGCTCCTCTGCTCGGATCTTCTGCGGCAAACGCAAACTATCTTTGGTGCTCTGAAGCCAACCAACCAATGACCGGGGCTCAGTTTGGAAACGCCTGCTCCGGGGCAGCCTCGCTTCCCTCCCGCTCGCATCAGTGACAATTCCTGTCGCTGTGCAGCTGTCGGAAGGTTCTGTGCCGCACAGAGCAGCCTTTTTGTTTGCTCTGCCAGCGTGAAGCGCTCGAATCCTGGCACGATCGGAAGACGAGCAGAACTGGAGGGGAGGCCAGGGATGAGAAGCCAGCATCCCTTGCAAAGGAATTCTGTTTCCCCCCCCCGCCTTGCAAGACAGATGATTTTCTAGAATGACAAAGATCAAGGGATTCAAAGACGAAAGGCGAATCGGCGAGGACAAAAGAAGACTAGGAAGAGTGTGTCGAGCGTGAACTCCCTGAGCAGCAAAAACAAGGGTCTCCAACAGGGTGCCCGTGGGCACCGTCCCTCCTGCCAACACCTTTTCTGGGGCCCAACAAGAGTTTTTAGGACGTAGGTGGGGGCAGGAAGTGTTTTCGCCTAGCAGGGCTTCTGATTCACTGATGGAGATTTGATTGGGCTGTACATATATTTTTTTAAAATGTCGCTTGGGCAGCAGGATCTACAGTGTGTGACTGAAGTTAAGCTGCAGCAGCCATTTCGCGGATGGCACCGTCTCCTGCGGCAGCCATTTCGTCGCAGCCATTTCGTTCCTGCCCCCCACCAAGCTGTGTCAGAATTCCCGCAGGCTCAAAATGGTTGGGGATCCCTGAGCTAAAACAATCAGGGAACGGCTCCGGCACTGGGCCCTGGGAGAGACCCCATGTCAGGATGCAAGCCCGCTGTGCAACCGGGACGACAGACCACACCGAACAGAGTTTGAGTCCGGTGGCACCTTTAAGGCCAAGAAGTTTAATTCTGGGTATAAACGTTCGTGTGCGTGCACACGTCAATGTATCTGATGAAGTGTGCATGGAATTTCATCTAACCTCAGTCTGGAGACTGAGCCCTACGAGGAAAGGCTAAGGGCCTTGGGAATGTTTAGTTTGGAGAAGAGGAGATTGAGGGGGGGACATGATGGCTCTCTTTCAATATTTGAAAGGCTGTCCTTTGGAGGAGGGCAAGGAGCTGTTCCAGTTGGCGGCAGAGGAGAGGACCCGAAGCCAAAGGAGTCTCAGAGCAGTTTACAAACTCCTTTCCCTTCCCCTCCCCACAACAGGCACCCTGTGAGGTAAAAGAGGAGATTGGATTTATACCCCGCCCTTCACTACCCAAAGGAGTCTCAGAGCGGCTTACAAACTCCTTTCCCTTCCCCTCCCCACAACAGACACCCTGTGATGTAGAAGAAGAAGAAGAAGAAGAAGAGATTGGATTTATACCCTGCCCTTCACTACCCAAAGGAGTCTCAGAGCGGCTTACAAACTCCTTTCCCTTCCCCTCCCCACAACAGACACCCTGTGAGGTAGAAGAAGAAGAAGAGATTGGATTTATACCCTGCCCTTCACTACCCAAAGGTGTCTCAGAGCGGCTTACAAACTCCTTTCCCTTCCCCTCCCCACAACAGACACCCTGTGAGGTAGAAGAAGAAGAAGAAGAGATTGGATTTATACCCCACCCTTCACTACCCAAAGGAGTCTCAAAGCAGCTTACAAACTCCTTTCCCTTCCCCTCCCCACAACAGACACCCTGTGAGGTAGGTGGGGCTGAGAGAGCTCTTGACAGAAACGGCTCTTTTTCAAGAACAGTTCTGACAAGACTACGGCTCGCCCAAGGTCATCCAGCAGCTGCAAGTGGAGGACTGGGGAATCAAACCCGGTTCTCCCAGATTAGAGTCCGCGCACTTAACCATCGCACCAAACTGGCTCTAAATAAATAAATAAATAAATTGCAAACTCACTAACCGGTCTTAGGCAGCCTTGCCTACACACGCACAGCATCTGGTTACACAGGGTTAAGAATACTGGTCTGCTCCACACGGTGGTTGTTAATTAGACAAACAATAGGTTGGATCCTGGGGGTGGGCATGCTGTTGGGGACCCCCAAACTAGAGAATGAATGTAGGCCCCCGGGCATGACAAGTACCTGCTCTGCCACAGAGCCCTGGCCCCCTTCCCAGATCATGCCCAGCCTAGTGACCAGGGCCTCCCCTCCGCTGCCAACCCCTGGGGGGGGGGAGTCTTGGTACCTGGTGCCTGGGTCAGTGTCGCTCTTCAGAGCTCTGCCATCCGTGAAATTGAGGCTGCCGGTCCAGTTGGCCATTTCCTCTCCACTCTGCCAGCTAAACTGCAGGCCACTGGCAAGAAAACGAGGCAGTTGGTATTGTCACATCACTACAAGCAGCTTCGGCGTCTGTCACACGGCGGGAAGAACACATTTTCGCAAAAGGTGGCAGGAACGGAAACCTCAAGGTCTATCAGCCTTATTGCTAAAGGTTAAGGTTGTGGTGGCTTTTCCCCAATTGGAACATTATTTTTCAAGAGGAGAAAAGAAGAAGAGACTGGATTTATACCCCTCCCTTCACTACCCAAGGGAGTCTCAGAGTGGCTTACAAACTCCTTTCCCTTCCCCTCCCCACAACAGGCACCCTGTGAGGTAAAAGAGGAGATTGGATTTATACCCCACCCTTCACTACCCAAAGGAGTCTCAAAGCAGCTTACAAACTCCTTTCCCTTCCCCTCCCCACAACAGACACCCTGTGAGGTAAAAGAAGAAGAAGAAGAGACTGGATTTATACCCCTCCCGTCACTACCCAAGGGAGTCTCAGAGCGGCTTACAAACTCCTTTCCCTTCCCCTCCCCACAACAGACACCCTGTGAGGTAAAAGAAGAAGAAGAGATTGGATTTATACCCCGCCCTTCACTACCCAAGGGAGAGCGGCTTACAAACGCCTTCCCCTTCCCCTCCCCACAACAGACACCCTGTGAGGTAGGTGGGGCTGAGAGAGCTCTGACAGAAACTTCTCTTTTTCAAGAACAGCTCTGACCGAATTATGGCTTGCCCAAGGTCATCCAGCAGGTGCAAGTGGAAGAGTGGGAACTCAAACCTGGTTCTCCCAGATTAGAGTCTGCGCACTTAACC